AATTAAAGGGAAATGCAAGTGTTAAAATGCCTGTTTTGGGTAAATTATTAAATAAATTTTGAAATTCTTTTCCTCAATTTAAAGAAAGAGCAAGTCGTTTAAGTGCCTCCAATCGAGCCCCTTCCCTCATAAACCCAGAAAATTGGCGTGAAATTATTTTGACAGGATTTGAATCTTTGGTTTATTAATCTTTTAAATTTAAATATTTTAAATTCTTTTTAAGGGTTCTGTTATTGGAACGATAAAAGCAAAAGACGAAGATGATGACCCTCTTTGGTGGTCAATTGAAGATGAGGTGGAAATTTAAAAATAAATATTTTTTAAAAATAATTTTTTCTTCTTTTAAAAAAAGAATGGAGAAGAAGATTCTCTTGCTCAAAAATTCTTTGCTTTAAGAAATATTAAAGAAGGAGCTGAATTAATTTTAATTGAAAATATTCAAGAATTAAATAATATTCAAGAAATTATTGTTAAATTTTCTTTAAGTGATGGATTGGATACAATACACGATAAAGTATATATTTAAATATTTAAATAAATATTTATTTATTTTTAAATTTTAGTTAATAATTCGATTAGAATATTCAAAAGAAAATATAAAATTTTTTGAAGAAGAAATTAATTTACAAATATTTAATGAAATGCCTATTGGATATATTTTATATAAACCCCAATTAATTAATAACAATAAAATTTCAACAAAATATTTAATTCATTATTTTTTACATTTAATTGATGATATTAACGGTTTTGATGGTAAATTTAAATAAAATAAATTTAAATTAATTTTTATTTAAGAAGTATTTCGTGTTGATCCAATAAATGGAAATGTTATTTTGGCTAAACAATTACCTCAACGTTTGGCTTCCCCTTTTACTTTAATTATTGGAGCTAGTAAATATTAATTAATTTTAAATTATTTTTAATTAATTTAGCAATTTATTCACAACATCAAAAATATAATATTAGCGGCTTTTCTACTCTTCGAATAAATAGGGGAGAGGAAAATGAAAATTCTCCAATGGTAAATATCTAAAGAAAATTATTTTTTAATTTCGTTTTTAAAAGTTTATTGAATGTTATGGTAAGGAAGAGGGTTATTTGGAAATTTTACTTGAAGGCGATGGAAATCCTGGAGATTTAATATATACTTTTGAGGCTATTGATCCAGATAGAGGAAATTCTGGGAAAGTAATAAATAAATAATTTGAATATATTTTGATGTATTTGTTTATTTTTAGGTAAAATATTCATTAATTTATGAACAGAAAAAATATCAGAAGCTTTTTTCTTTGGATGAAATAACAGGAGAATTGAGGTTATTGAAAGGGTGGCCTAAAAAATTGGAAGAAGTAAGTTTATATTTATTTTTATAATTTTGTTTAAAATTTGTATCTCGTATATTTTTGGAGAATTCACTAACTTGAAAAAATTTTTAAAAATTAATTAAATATATATTTTTTTATTTTCAAAAAAGGTTAATTTATTAATTCGAGCTACTGATTCCGGAAATTTTCCTCGTTCAAGTGATTGTCATTTAAATTTATTAGCACCAAAATCTTTAATTATTTCCAATCAATTTCAACCAAAATATTTAAATTATTCAATTAATAATTTTAAAAAATATTTTGGAAAATTAAATTCTTTAATTTATTCTCCAAAAATTTTAAATTATTTAAATATTGAAGAAAATGAGGAAATTAAAAATAAAAATAATTATTTAATTGATACTTCTAATTATTATTATAAAATAGAAGAAAAAGGAGAATGTCAACAATTATTGTCAATACATTTTTCTAATGGAAAATTAGTATTTAATGGGTAATTTAATTAAATAAGTCTTTTTTAATTTTAATTATTTTTAGTGCCTATACAGGTTTAAATGAATTAAATTGTTCGATATATTTAAATTCGAGAGAAAATGACAAAAATAATATTTTAATTTATAATATTTTTGTCAATGTTTGTTTTTTTCTAAATTTAATTAATTTAAATATTTTTTTAAAGTTAAATTCAACATTTTCATTTCCTTTTATTTCAACATTTAATGAAACTTTTGACAATAATAATTTAAATTTTTTATTATTAAATGAAGAAATATCTACATCAACAACACTTTCAACACTTTCAATAAATAATGAAAAAGAAATTCAATTTTTACCTTCTTCTGAAATTTATTTCGAACAATTTTTGTTAGAGAATAATTTAGAATCTTCCTCAATTTTTAGTTTTCCTCAACAAATATATAATTTAAATATTCCTGAAGGACGTCCTTTAATTAATCAAACAATTCTACTTTCACTTTGGCCTTCACAAATTAATTTATTTGGAAATAAATTGAAATTTAAATTAATTTTTAATAAATTCGAAGAAATTATTTTGGAACGTTTTTTTAAATTAGACAAAGATTTTGGGATTTTGTGGTTAATAGATGATGGAAATCCTATGCCAAAAATTTTATTTGACAGAGAAGAACAGCCACAAATATTAATGGCCATTAAAGTTTTTGATGAAGGTTAAAATAAATTTTGGAAAAAATAAATTTATTTATTTTTTTTTAGTTAAAAATCTGTCAGCTTTATGTTTGGTAAAAATTAATTTAGAGGATATTAATGATAATCCGCCTATATTTTCTGAACAAAAATATTTAATTAATGTTTTTGAAGATGCCCAAATAGGCGATCAAATTCTTCAGCTTAATGCAAAGGATGCTGATTCTGGAATTAATGGAATGGTTAATTATGAATTGGAAGATGAGGTATTTTAATTAATAAATTATTTTAGAAAATGTTCCACTGATACCCAGAATAATTTTTTGACACCTAAGTCCGTTTAAATTAATAAAATCTCAATTAATTCCAATTAATTTTCAAAATTTTCAATAAAATAATTTTCTCACTTAAAAAGGCTTCAATCCCTTCATTTATTCAATTAAATAAATCTGACGGCCGTCTATTAATTTCTTCATCAATTTCTCGAAAAGAAAAACAACAAAAAATATTTAATTTTAATGTTTTTGCTATTGATAAAGGAATACCTTCACTTTCAAGTCTTCCAATACAAATAAATTTAAAAATTGTTGATGCCCAAATACCAATATTTTCAGCAAAAATATATCGAGTAGAAATGGCAGAAATGACTGAAAAGAAAATTTATCCTTCTCCTTTACTTCAATTAAAAGCAGAAATTCCAAACAAAAATTTATCAAAAATTTGTTATAAAATTAAAAATGCAAAAATAAGTAATGGATTATTAAATAATGAAGAAGATGGAGGGGAAGAAGAGGAGGAATATTTAAAATTATTTAATTTGGATTTAGATTCTGGACTTTTATTTATTTTAAATTCATTACCAACTTCAAACAATTCAAAACAATTATTTATTAATTTAACTGTTGAAGCTTTTGTTGAAACTTCTAAAAATTCAGGAATTGCTAATGTACTTGTTAGACTTCCACAAAAATTAATTCCAACAATTTCTTTTAAATATCCAATATTTAAATGGAATATTTTTGAAAATTCTTCTGGTAAATTTTTTTGAAAAAAATTTAAATAAAAAATTATTTTTTTAGTTGGAACATTTATTGGAAAATTGGAATTATTAAATAATAATAATCCTTCTTTGCCAGTTAATTATTCTTTATTAATAAATAAAAATCAAAGAAAAATTCCTTCAATTATTTCAATTCACCCTACAAATGGGGAAGTTTATTTGGCTAATTTAATTGAGGAAAAACAAAAAATATATGAATTTAATGTTTTGGCTTTGATTAAATTAGAAAATGGAAATGTTGAAAGTTGTGAAGGATTAATTCAAATTAATGTTATTTTTGGAGGGAAAAAGGAAGGAGGAGAAGAAGGAAAGGTAAAGGAATATTTATATTTTTTTGAATAAAAAATTTAAATTTTAGTCAAAAGAAAAAGATGAAAAATTTTCTGTAGCTAATCAGAACCAATTTAATTTAAATTCCAATCGAGAATTAACTACTCCTATACCACCAACATTCAAACCAGAAGAAAGGATTATTAAAACAAAAGAAAATTTTGTGGAAAATAATTTTTTGTTAAATAATTTTGTGAGAAGGCCTCCTCCTCCCCCTTCTATTCAACAAAATATTTCAGTAAATTTAAAGAATATATTCTTTTTAATTAAAAAATTAATTTTAAGAAAATTTTGAAAAAGGAAGAAACAAATATTAAAAATGGACAAGTATTAAATGAAATATTATTAAATACAAATAATAATAACAATGATTGGCTACAACAATTTGTAATTAATTAATTAATTAATTAATTTTAAGAAAATGTTAAGCTCGCTATACAATGTTTCACCACAATTCTTGTCTTTAAAAAATATAAGAATAGCTACAGTCGTCTAGTTTATACATATAATCGAGATTTGAAGTAGACTTTGCTTTTTAGCTCTCTTACCCTTTGCAGCTTCCTCTAGTTTTTCTTATATTTTTAAAGATAATGCCGGTGTAAAGGCCGCTCCATAAATAGCGGGCTGTACATTCTATATTTTTAAATTAATTTTTTTTTTAATTTAAAGGTTGATTCTAATCGTTTAATTCTTTTACTTCTTCCAACTTGTTTATTGTCTTTAGCTTTAATTTCTTTTTCTTTTTTTATTTGTTGTCGGTATTGTCAAAGAAAAAATAAAAATAATTTAAATAATCGAAAACAAAGAAAGTCAATTAAAAATAAAAGAAATTTTGGTGGAGGAGGGACAACAACATATTCTGGTTCTTTTACTAGAGGAACTATTGAATTTCCAAGTCGGAGACAAACACCTGATCCTGCTTGTAATCCTTTAGTTCCTCGAAAAACAACTGGTAAATTTTTTTAAAATATTTGAGAAAAATAATTAAATTCAACTAAAAAAATTAATTTAAAGCTAGCCAAGTAATTGCCGACCAACAACCCCCACCTCCACGTCCACCTCGCTATAGACGTGATGCTCATGGAACGGCTGCTCTTCCAACCGTGGAAGTTAAACCAATGCATAGAATACAACAAAATAAAGTTGAAAACTTTATTCTTAAAATTTTTTAATTTATTTTTTTCCTCAATTTATAGCCAACAACAACAATTATCGACAATATTTCATTAAAATCTAATCAAACAACTCAAAGTAATAATCAACTAAATAATTCTTCCTCTCCTTCAATACCAAAAAGAAGAACATCTGGAAGTACTGGGGGAATACAAAAAAGAAGAAAAAAAGAAAATATTTTGAATGTTCCAGAACCTCCCCCAAGACATTCTTCGGGCGATTTGGTGGCAATTAAAGAAGTTTTTGGAATTAAAAATAATTATTTTTAATATTTAAATTTAGAAAGAAATAAATAAAAATGCTCAACTTTTATTACATTCATTTGGACGTCCTTTAAATTCAGAAGAATTAAATAATAAAATTTTAGAAGAAGAAGAACAAAATAATAATTTACAAATTAAAAATAAAAAACAAAAAAATATCAATTGTGATTCTCCTACAAATATTGTTGGAACATCTACTTCTGATTATCTTACAATGAAACCTGTACATAGAGCTAAACCTTTTAAATTAGGAAATGAAATAGAAAAAGGTTTTGAAAAAATAAATGAACATTTATTTTAAAAAATTATATTTTTATAGAATCTCTTCCTCCTCCTCCTCCACCACCCCCACCTCAACATAGAACGGCAACTAAATTATATGATTGTCCAATTGAGACAAATATAGATTCTGATGAAAATGAAGAAATTGAAGAAAAATAAATTAAAGAAGTTTTTAATTAAAAGTTTTAACTGCCATTTCCTTCCCCTTCAAAAGTTTTTTTGAAGGGATAATATGTAATTGTTTCCTATTTTTATAGGCGGGTTTATTAATTTGCTTTCATTAATTTTTATTTTTCACTTTATTATTTTCACTTTTAATGGCCATTTTAATTAAAATATTTAAATTAATTTTTTTTTGAATATAAAGAATAAATTTTTTTTGTTTTGTTCAAGAAAAAGTATATAGTACATAGTTGACGTAAAATAAATATATTTTTATAAAAATAAAATAAAGGATATTACGCATATAAATATGTACTTAATAATACTTTAAACTATTTGTAATTAAAAGTAATTATCCCTAAAATTATTTGTTAAAAATTATTTTTTCTTCTAAATCGCCCACAATTTCCTTTATCGTCAATATATTTTTTTAAATATATTTATTTGTCTATTTAGTAGATATAAAAAAATACTTTAAATTATTTCCTTTTTCCGTTTTATTTGCAATTAAAATATACATACATATGTACTATATTAAACTTTTGATGTTAATTTTAAATTGAAAAAGGGCGTGTATTTAAATAAAAGTCTGGTTAATTTAAAAAAAGGTATTAAATATCAAGTATAAATTAGTATATTATTTAATTTTCAGTTTTTTTTATTTTTTTAAATTTCATTTATCAACTTAAATTGTTTTATATAGTATAGATATTTCAAAAAGTCTTTAAAAAGTAAAATAAATCATTTTGGATAGTTTTTCCCAGAAGAGTCAAAATAAGCATTAATTTTTAAAAATTGATATCGAAACCTTTTCTAATGTAAGATGATCAAGCTAATCGGTAAATGTTTTTCGTTCATTACATGTTTTCAAAAAATATGTATTTTATTTTTTAATTTTTAAATAAATTAAATTTAAATTCCCTCAAATATTAAAAAAATAATTCACTTACTAAAATAAAACAAAATGAAATCATTATTCACGGTACATTACTCCTCTAGCTTTTATTAAATGTACAAACTAAAAAAGTCAAATTTAGATAAAGTGGGATTTTTCATGTCAAGTTTAAATTAAAAAATTCAAAAAAGCAAAAGAGTTTCTCATCTCTCCTTTTTTTAATTTTGCCTTTTTTTTTAATGTTTCATATCATTTGGCAAATAAAATAAATGGATGTAAAAAACACAAAAATAATTCTAATAAATAATGTATGTAAATAATGTACATAAATATTTAAATTAAATATTCTTTTGTTCGAAAACAAAAAAATTCTTTTCCAATTAAATCATTAATTATAATATCCAAATTGAAAATTAACAAACCTACACTTTAAGTATAAATTTTAAAATATCGTCAAAAATATTTTTGCAAAAATCTTGTTTTTTTATTAAAAAAAGTATTTTTATCCAATTTTATTGCAAATAGACAACTTTCATGGTATTTTGACAACCCTGAATATGTACTTACTTATTTTTGTTAACTAGGCTAATAAATAAATAAAATCGTCATATTTAATATAGAAAATATATTTATTTGTGACAATCTGCAATCTTTATATTTTTACTTAAAAATTTATATTTTAATTGTTTTTATTTAATTTTAATTTTTATTATTTTATAGAATATTTTCAATTTAATAATAATAATAATAATTAAAAATAATTTCTTTTAAAAAATGTCATCAACTAAACAACAACAAAAAAGTTTTTCTTCCTCCTCAATTAATTATTCCACACAAATTTTCTTTTATTTTCGAATAATTTTTATTTATTATTTTTTGGCAATTCAAAAATTGGATGCTTATCCAAACTTTTACAATAATGAATTCCCAATACAAAATTTGAGAAAGTTTTTGAATCAAGGAGGAGGAGAGGAAAAGAATGAAGGAGAAAATAATGGAAATTTAAATAATTTAAGAGAAGAAAATAAATTAGCAAATGACGGCAACCATCCAGTGTTTTTTGGAAGGTTAATAGAAATTAATTATAAAGATTGACAGAAATGTTAAATTAAATCTGAATAGTACTTCAATCAAGTACTTTTCTGTTATATCACACAGCCCCACTATTTTTATGAGATATTTAATTCCTAAGGCTGTGCAGTAGGCGGCGTGGTGTAATATGGATAACACATCAGTCCGATCTACTGAAGATTCTGGTTGGCTCCCAGCCGCCGATTAACCTTTTGCACTAGCTGAGGAGAGAAATAGTTATAGCCCCCTGCTTTACTATATCATTTGTCTTAGTTTGATAAAAAGAAATAATTTCTCATTCCTGCAATACCTCTTCTTATCAAAAACAAAACTAATAAAGTAAACAAATTAAATTTAATTTTAAAGAAAAGTTTCTTCCCTCGGCGATTTACAACAAACATTTACCCCCGAAGGTTTATTGGAACCCCCTTCTTCTGCATTTGTTCGTTCTGCTGCAAATAAATTAATTAAAAAAGATAAAGAAGAAATTGAAGAAAATAAAAAAGAAAATGGAATAATTAATACTTTAATTACAAATAATAGACAACCAAGAGCTAACAGTAATTCCAAATTGGCAAGAAAAAATTGTAAAAATAAATTTTTTTTGAAAAAATTATTTTAATTTTTAAAGGTTTCTTTTCTCCATTACAATGTTCATTTTATTATAAGAGTAATTCAAACTTTGCAAACATGCTTATGAGAGGAGATGAATAAATTAAAAAGAGTGATAAAAACAAATTTTGTTTAATTTTACAGAAAACAAAAATTAATTTAAAAAAATATTTTAAACTAAATAATTGGATAAATTGTAAATAAAAGAATATAAAAATTTAATTTTTATTTAAAATTAATTTATTTTCTTTTTTTTCTCTTTTTAATTCTCCACCAAATAATCATTTCAAGATCCTATCAAAAGATAATAGAGAAGTGCTGCACAAATAGCAAAAAGAACACAATAAACAAGCATTTCAACTGGGCTACGTTTACTTTAAAGAAATTAAATTTTTTTGATTAAAATTTAAAATTGTTTTTAATTTATAAGAATTCCCAAACATTTCAATTAAACCCCTAAACTACCCCAATTAAAAGAAAAATATCAACAAATTTAACCCAAAATTAATTCCCAAACCTCTGTTCCAAGTCGTCAGTCTTTTTATTTGTCACATCCCTTTTATCATAAGAATATTTCCAATGTTCCTCCTTTTAATTAATTTTTAAACTAAAATTTAAAAACAAAAAATTTAACCTCAACAACTTCCCCAATACAATAATCCTCCTTTAAATTTTATTTTAATTTTTTTAAACTTCAAAAATACCTTCATTTTCCGTGCATCAGTTGAATGTCCAATATCTTCAAAAGCCTCAGTTCTATCTTCCCCAGCTTTTTCTAACAAAACTTCACAACCCCCAGGATGTTCATCCAAAAATTTAGTTACATCATAAACCTTTTTAATTTAATTTTTAATTTAAATTTAAATTAATTTACTTTATTTCCAATAATAATCCAACAATTATTATTTGAATTATTTTGAGAAACTTCAGAACGAGTAAATTGTTTGGCAATTGTCATCTATTTATTTTATAAAAATAATTAAATTTAAATAAATTATTTTTTAAAAAATCATACGAGAAAAAAAAGAAAAATTAAATGAATCGATTAAACAAAAATATTTTTTAGTCTGCGATGAAATAAAAGGGAAGGGAGGGGAGAAAAAAGGGGAAATTATTAGGTCGACAATAAATGAATTAATTTATAGATAAAATTTTGTAGATTGTATTTTATAGTAAATAATTAAGTAGTTTATTTTAAAAATTTAAAGATTTTTTAGAGTAAAAATATTTTCGAAAAACTAATGTCTTAACTTAAAATTTAAAAATTTCCAACTTTCCATTAATTAAACAATAATTTATAATAATTTTTAATAAAAAATATTTATTCGTAATTAAAATCAACGGCAATCCCGGAGAATCGTGGTCCCTGCGGAAAAAAATCTTAAAAATAAGAAAAAGTATTTTTCTAGGGTAAAAAATTATGCTGATTACGAATCTGAACTCAGATTTTGAAAAAGTCAAATCACGAACCCGAATATAGGTCCTCGAATATCGAAAAACCATAGGGGGGACCAGGCTGATTTTGGGGTAAAAAATTCGAATAAGCAAATTATACCTCATTCGAAAGAGCTCTTCAAGCTGAGTCGAATGACACCAAAATCATCGTGATTAAACTAGATCGGACGAAGTTATACCACAAAAACAAACAACGTAGGCCTAAGTTTTTTGTGTATAACTTTGTCCAAACTTGAACAATCAAGCTGATTTTTATGTCATTCGACTCTGCTCGTCGAGCTCTTTCGAATGAGATATTATTTGACTAATTTGCGCTCTGTTTATTATTCGAAATTTTTCCAAAAATGTCAAATGTTCGAATTTCGGGTTCGGGATTCGACTTTTTCAAAATCTGAGTTCAGATTCGTAATTAGCATAATTTTTTACCCAAGAAAAATCCCTTTTCTTATTTTTAAGATTTTTTCCGCAGGGACCACGATTCTCCGGGATTGCCAAATCAACAACATCAAAATAATTTATCAATCAATAAATTTATTTAAATAAAGAAATATTCAACATCGCGGCTGTGCCTTGCACCAAATTATTAGCCAACATTTTATCAACCACCTCACCCAAATGTCGCTTAGGGTCTTGTTTACCAACATTTTTAATTTCAATTTGTTTCTCAGTCATTGTATCTTCCTCTTCAATTTCCTAAAAAATTAGATTTAAATTTCAAAGAGAATATTTAATTAATTTATTTAATTACTTTTTTGTATAATTTTGCCCATTTTAAAATTTGTTCAAAAGATTTTTGGGTTGTAGAGCAATTAACAGTATATTTCTCTAACATCATTGAATCCTTCCAATTTTGTTTATTTAAATTCAATAACATCTTTTTAAAAGAAAAATTTTTATTTTTAATTTAAAAATTAATTTAATTTACTTGTTGCTCATTTTTTGTTGTTTTAAAAGAAATTGGAATTGAATAATATTTTTGATTTAATCCATGGACGAGTGCCCGAATTGAATGCTTTTGTAAATGCCCAATATTACACGTAGTCTGTCGTGGTTCGAGTTTTGAGATAATTACTGGATCCGGAATTGTTCGAAAAGCATCAATAATTACCTCAAATAAATTGAAATTTTGAAAGAAAAATTAAAAGGAAACTACTCACCTTTCCCTTCACAGACTGGATTGGATCAACAACAACAGCAACTGCCCGAGCAGATAACATTTCAAAACTTTGTTGTGTATTGCAATCAACACCCGAAAGCCAACAACCAAAACCTGGGTGAGAATGATACCAACCAACAACCATTTCTGGACGGCCTGTTTGTTTTAACAAATCAATCATTTTTGCTTGGAAGACATCATCTACAGACTCGACAGAAACACCCTATAAAAATTAAAAATATTTTTTTTTGTGGATATCAACAACATACAGTTCCAGACTGTGGCATAGCAAAAACATCAATAACATCAATAGTATAGTCATCAACAAATTCACCAAGCATCAAACCCATAACCTGGAAATAGAAACTTTCTTTTTAGAAGTTAAGAAGTACCTCCATCGGCACTCCAGCCCTTCCATGTTTCAACATCTTAAGCAATGCTAAAGAGCTAATGTAAACAGTTTCTGATGTATCTACTTGGTTCGAATCAAATGGAGATGCAGAAAGATTCTCACCTTGATTACCTCCAATATTCAAAAACTGAATTCGTCGACGATTCATTTAAATTGTTTTTAAATTAAAAATCTGAAATAGTAATTTAAATATAAAATGCTAAAGAAGTAAGAACTTGATTGGGTTAAATTCTGCTTTTATACTATTAAAACTGAAAATCCTACACTTCCTGACGTGTAGGACATCAACTGGACATTTACCGATTTCGAGCATAAAGTGTACCGAAGTTTAAAACTTAAGGCTTCGACACATTTATTCGAGTAATTATTTACCATTTTGAGGCCTTACTTCTCCTTTTCAATAGACTTGAGCATCTCTCGACGCCAAAAACCGGCATTGCGTAAAAAATGGGATAATGGTGAATGAGTACTCTTTATTGGTGGGATAAACTAATCTAGAAGTTTTTCTAATCTAAATTAGAAAGCTTGCTATGCAAAAAGAAATCTTTATGGTTTTTAAATAAAAATTTATATATTTTAAGTATTAAATTCAAAAAAGGCACATTAGACAATTTTAAAAAATGCACAAGAGAAATTAAAATTCTTTTAAATTCTTTTAAAAATATCATCTTTTCTTCTTTTTAAATAAAATTTTGTATTATTCTCTTTGTTTTAATAATTTTATTTTTGTTGTCGGCATACCCGTGAATGTTTACTTAAATAACTTTTTAATTTAAATGCCTTTCCACAATGTTCACAAACAAATGGCTTTTCTGCTAAAAAATTGAAAAAAAAAAATAAATTTAAAAAATTATTTATTTTACGTCGATGAGTTTTTTCATGTGCACGACAATTTGAACGGTCAGCAAAGGAACGAGAACAGCCAGGCTCTTCACATTTAAAAGGTTTTTCTCCATCTAAAAATAAATTAATTTAAAATAAAATATTTAAAAATATGGGGTTAGCCGGTGGCCGATTCGAAAAGCCCTACGATTTTTACATCATTCGATTCAGCTCATTAAGCTTACAATTAGTCGAATCACATCAAAATATGATAAAAAATAAATCAAGTAAACAATTGCTTGGTTCTGTGACGGCTTTTGAACCGGCCACTGGCTAAAGTGCAGCCAAACCATGAATTCTTTTATGTCCATTCAACAACCATGGCCTACCAAACGATTTACCACAAACCTAAAAATAAATATTTTAAATATTAAATATTTTGGGATTTATTGAGAATAATTTTTAAAATTTTTTTTCTGATTATTTCTCCCAATTTAAATTTAATTAAAACATACATTACACTGTACTTTTTGTATATTATTATTATTGTTGTTAATTAATATATTGTTTATTTTCCTCCTTTTTGGTGTTTCTTTTAATTCTTTATTTTCATTTTTTCTTTTACAAGATGATTTATTTAATATTATCTTCAAAATTAAAAATAAAGAAAGTTAATTAAAATTAAAATTCTAATTTTTACCTTTTCTTTAGCAGCTACCTTTTCCACAATTTTTGATATTTTTGTTGTTGTAGGATAATTATTATTTGGATATTTGAATGAAGTTAAATTATTTGAAGAGTTATTTGTTCTCCAACTATTTTCACTATTACTAGTTCCGGGGGTTGAATTAATTGACTTTAAATTTTTTAAAAATTAAATTAATATGTATTCCTCTCAATTTAGAATTAAATGTTTAGTGAGATAATTTAAAAAAAGGAATGTTTTGTTTTTGTTCAAACTTTTTTTAATTAAAATTTACCGGAGGTGTATTTTGTTGAAATATTGAAGTTATTTGTTGTTTTTGTAATTGATTAAGAATAAATTGTTTTTGAAATAAAGATGTTAAAAATGCTGTTAAAAATGGATTTGTATTTAAAGAAGAAGATGGAGGCGAAGAAAAAAATGTTGAAAAATTTGGAGATAAATTATAAAAAGGTGGAGACGGAAATTGAAATGAATGTAGATATTGTTGTTGTTGTTGTATAGGTGATAATGGAGTAATTAATGCTGTTGGTGTTGTTAATATATTATTTGGAGATAAATTTTGAGTAAATGGCCAAACTAGAAAATATAATTAAAGATATATTTTTAGTTGATTTTTTATAGTCCATTCAATTCCCGATTAAATAACAAATTTAAAGTTTTGTTTTTTGGAATTGCAATCCAAAAATTTCCATTTATCAACTGAATTCAATTAAGCCTTCTTGCGAAACGGACCAATTTTATTGGAAGGAGAGAGGGTGTTCCTGCCAACTTTGTTAAAAATTTTTCCTAACGCTTTACCCTCCGCCTCAACGTCATTAACAAAATTCCAAAAACATAAATATTTATTCTCTATTTAATTATCTATTAGACTATCTAAATATGCTTTATCTTATTTAATTTTAAAATACTCGGCGCTGGGGACTTTTTATTTTTCTGTATAGTTAACCCCAATAGGTTTTTCAAAACAAAACATAATTTTAAAAATATTTTATGGGGAAGAGCCTAACAGTTTTTTAAATACATATATTTGTTAAAAATATTTTAAATTTATTTACAATTATTTTGTGGTTGTTGTTGTGGAAGAATATTTTCATTTTGAGAATCACGTAAAAGACGATCCATACGAAAATTAGTATATTTATTTGAATTAATAGTAGTCATTATTAGTTTATTATAACATTAAAAAATTAAATAGAAAAATCTTTAAATAAAAAATAATTTTGAATTAAAAAATGGAGAGGGAATTTATTTAGAATAAAAAATTAAAAGTTGTCATCATGCCAAATAAAAAACTCCGCCCCTTTTTCTTAAACCTTACAAAATAATTTCTTTCATTGAATGAATGGCGCGTGTAAATTAATATTTAGAGTACTTATTTATGTACATCAAAGGGAAAAGACTTAAAATGCCGCCGCTTTATGCCTATATAAATTTTTCCCAGAAAAGGGGAGAACATCAAAATTGAGGTGTTTCTTTTTCACAGAATTAGCATTCTTTCTTACGTTATTTACAAACATTTATTTTATAAATAAACAAAGAAATTTAAATACTTTTTTTATTAAATATTAATTTTACTTCAAAGACCTTTGATTGATCTTCTTTTGATATCTCGTAGACTACATACAAAGATTATATTTTTTTGTTTATTAATTAAATTAAATACATAAGTACATCCTTTTTTGTCCCAAATATTTTTTAAATAAAATTTAATTATTTAAATGGCTTTTCCAAATTTCCAAACTTCTCTCCTCCTTTCCTAAAGATGTGCATATTTATTTTAGGATGGATATAAAAATTAGAATATTTCTCAATATCCATTAACAAACATATAAAACTAACCACTTTTTAAATGTTTCTCCCTTCTGTTGAAAAATTATTTTAAGTAATGTTGTTGTGGGGGTAGTGGTTATCCTTTTTTTCTTCCCAGGAAAATTTTTAAAAAATAAAAATATTAAATAATATACAAATATTTTTTTACAATTTTTTAATCCAAAATATACACTAAAAACAAACACAATAATCCATACTTGGAAAGAAATTTTACAGCAGCCAATACAAGAAGGGAAAATAAGTAGAAGGACAAAATAAAGTTTTGTTTAAAATTTTGAATTTTTTAAATAAAAAATTTGGGCATTTTTATTGGAGAGAAAAAAAAACTGGGTAATTTCTTAACAAGAATATTTAATTTATTTTAAACTTTATTAAAAAAAATAAAGACGTGTGCTATTTTCTTTTCAATGGATACAGTATCTGCCAAGCAAAAATTGCTTAATAAACCATTCGAGAGTTAAAACAAAAAAGAAGGCGGTGCTTCGAGAATATAAATACATATATTGTATATTTAGTTAAAGTTGTTGTTGTAAATAAATATTTTTTGTTTTGTGTTTTTCGGCATTTTTATGACACTTTTTTTAAATAAAAAAATAGAAGTTTATATTGTTGAAGGAAAACAAAAAGGGAAACCGAACAGACACTGCCAATTCTTTAATTAAATAAAAGTTTTCAAATAGATTTATAGCCTATATATTTGTATGATGAAAATATAGTGGAATAAGTATAAGTACGAGGTACTAGGCCAAAAATAGGCAGGTATGAAGCAAAATTGAAATTTATGAACACTGAGCTTTAGATGGGAGAGAGAGAGAATAATTAGGAGATAATTATTTATTGAAGATATTTTTTAGAAGGAATTCTTTTTTCTTTAAAGATTAAATTCCTAAAAGATTTATCGAAAAATAAGGAAATATTTAAAGGAAAAAAATATTTATTTTAGCTTCAAGTTAAAAAACAAACAATTTCTACTAAATTACTATAAGTCAATTTATTTTTGCCTAGACAGGTTTTCTCTTCATTTTAGTGCCAATCATCAACAAAAAAAAAGAAAAATGTGGTCAAAAAATAAAATAAGCCAATTAATTTTTTAAAAATAATTTCTCTGTTAATTTTTTAGAGAGGGAAGAAGCTAGTTCAGAAGTCATTACAGCACTTTCTGCCGCCAAAACATATAAATGTCGGTGGGTGGCATCTGGACAGAAAAACTGGCCAAATTGCTTTTAAATTTTTTTGAATGTTTTTATTTGTTTTTATTTTTAATTATTTTGTTATGTTAAGAAAAACAGAAGATTGAAATTAAATTTTAAGCAGATTTTTGAAATTTATTTAAAAGAAAAAAATACTCAATAAAATATTTAAACATAAGGTCATTTTAGGTTTATAATTCTCAAAAAACTTTAATTTAAAGACAAAAATTACCGTATTTCTTCTAAAATAGCCCCTCACTATGCCTGCGTGGTAGGAAATACAGTAAACATTCTAAATTTTAAATTTACAAGAAAATTTTTATCTTCAATATTAAATAAATATATACAGTTTTTTATATAGTGCAAGTAGTCATAATTAAAAGCCGCCAATGTCAACGATGTTAATTATTTTTCTTTATTTTATTTTCCAAGGCCAAAACAATACACGGCCAATTTTTTATGCGCAATTGTTTAGGAAGTGAATGAAAAAAGAAAAAAAATATTTTTATTAGAAAATTTGCCGGAATTTTAGAAAAAAATAAAAGTATCAATTTACTTTTTTTTGTTAATTGTTGCAATATTTTTAGGCAAAAATTTTTTTAAATTTATTTTTGGTATAAATAAATAAAATTGAAAGAAATTTAAAAATAAAAAATTAATTAATTTTACAAAAATTATTATACTAGGGTTGTTATTATTAATACTAGGGTTGTTCAGACCGGTTTTAAAATCGAAAATTGATATTTTTTTGCCAAAAATTAACCGTTTTTACGAAATTAAAAAAAATCACCCAAAATAAAATTTATTATAAATAAAATAAATTATCCCTTTTCATTTTAATTTAGGTACCAGTGATCCTTTCGACAAGGAAAAACAAAATTCCCGATACCCTGAGATTCTGCAAAAAAAATGAATTAATTGAATTAAAGAAATGAATTAATTTTTAATATTAAATTAATTTAAAAAATTTTATATGTTCTACATATTTATTTTAATTTTTAGAATTTCGAACTTTATTTAATTTTTGATAAAATTAAAATAAAAAAATTATTTTTTAAATTTAAATATGTAATTGCAACTGTTTAATTTAAATATTTTCTTCCTAAAATGAGTCATAATAATATAAAACAAAGAAGAATAGTTTAGTTTATATTTAATTAGTGGAACCCGTATTTCTCACGTTTTTGTATTTAAAAAAAATAAAATGAAAATGAAGAAAAAAATTTGAAGTTTTTTTTTTGAAATATTTTATTTATTTAGTTGTTTTTAATTATTAATTTAAAAAAGTTTTTGTACAGAAACATATAATTTTGTTGGAGAAAACACAAAAACAACACATCCATTTTAATTTTCCCTATTTAGTCTTAAATCGCAACTCCGAACTTAAGCAATCGTATAGTAAATTATTTAAAACATCTTTTTTTAAATACACAGAAATTAAAATTTCGGCAATTTGATGCTCGTTGGAAATTCAAAATTAGCTCAATACATATTTGTACTTTTATATACATAGACCCCCTATTCTTGTACCTTTTATTAGCTTTATTTAATTTAAATAATTAATTAAATTTTCTTTTAAAATTATTTTTATTTATTCTCATTTATTTAATAATTTATATTAAACAATAAAATAAATTTACTCATTTAATACAGGCATTTGTGCATGTACTAAAACCCGTTACAAACAATTTTTCTTTTTTCCCCCACAAAAAGTTTTTAATAAATAAATATTTTATTTATTTGTTTGTATTGTTTTATTTATATGTAAGACGCGCACTTTGTTGAGTTATTTCCATTACTATTTCCAATTTTTTTTTAACTTTATGGCCAAATAGGAAAAAATTAATAAAACAAGCTATTTTGAAGAAAATTTTGATTAAAAAAATTAATTTTTAATTTGTTTTTTAATTAACTTTAAAAAAATTATTTTTTTTTAATTTTCCTTTTTTATTAAAAAAGAAAACAAACTTTTTTTTGTTTGCTTGTATATATTGATATCAAAACTTGGATTACTATTTAATTCATCATTTTTTAACAATTAGTACCTATATTACCTATATTTTGTGTACCTTTTGTATTTGAAAAAAATTAAAGAATTTTTATGGAATTAAAATTATTTATTAAAATTAAATTTTTCTAAATTAGCTTCAATTTAATTTTAAATTTATTTAAATAAAAATTTACAAAATACAATTTAATATTTTAATTCTATTTTTAACTTTTTTTTTCTTTTTAAATTAATTAATCTTTCTTCCTTTTTTTCCTTAAAAAACTTGTTTTTATAAATATTTGTCAATACATTCTCAAGTTTATTTTCGAATCCATTTTTGGGTTACAGTTTGACAATTAAATTTTGATAATTTAGGGTATTTATTAAATTAAATGAATCATTTAAAGAAAATATTTTTTAAGAAATTTTAAAACAAAAACAATTATTTTTTTAAAAAAATATTTTTATTTTTTAATAAATTCCCTTCCCATATTAATTTTTTTTGGTTATTAACCACTAATAAAATTAAAAATGATGGAACGAAAAAAATATTAAAATTCAAAAACACTCCTTTAAAAATATTTTTATGTCCAATAAATATGGACATTTTTACATAAATAAATAAATATTTATTAAATAAAAATTAAATAAAAGATTTCACAAATATATGGTGAGGGAATTAAATTTTAAAAAATATTTTTTATTTTAATTATTAACTTTCCCTATATGTATTCAGATTACCTAAATAAATATATTTTAGTTAATTCCTTAAATAAATTCTCTCTATATAATTTTTAAACAAAGCATTGAATACATACAAATATTAAAAACTCTCGTTTTTTATCTCCTAATTTTCCTCAAAAATTCCCCTCCCTCATACTCAACGAGAAATGATCGTTGAAAGAGATATAAATAAATAATAAAATAAAATTAAAGTTACGCGCGCATTCCATTGCTTATTTCTTTTTTGCGTGAAAAGTTAAAAACGTCTTAAATTATTTATAATAAATATTTACATATTTTTTAATTAAAAATAAATAATTATATTTTAATTAAAGACAAAAGAATAATTTTTAATAAAAATTTAACAAAATAAATATCAATTTAATTTAAATAGTAAATCATCCCCCCTTTTCCCTTCTATATCATTC